TTCTGCCCTGGTTACACCCTACCTATTCTCATTCTCACAGAAGGTTCCTTTAAATGCAGAGTATGTAAACCGGTAGTCTACGGGATGCATAGACTTTTTCCTCTTTCTTTTCTTTTTTAACAGCAGAAATATTTTAATCACAGAATAGGTAGGTGTTCCTTTTTTAATATATTTTTATTGTAAAGATACTGTACAGAGGGGTTACAGTTACATGAGTAAGGTAATGAGTACATTTCCTATTGAGAATTGTTACCCCCTCCTTTGTTTTTCCCTACCATCCCTTCCATCCCACCTCCCCAATTCCTCCCTCCTCTCCCAAAGTTGTAAAGTTCATTTTCAACATAGTGTCTTGTACCTCTCATTGTTACAATGGGTCCACCTGTATCATTATTTCAGCTTTTTGTTATTATCCTTCCTCTCCCCAAAAGACTTTTTTTCTTCTTTCTTTCCTGTTATTGGTGTTGAGGATCAAACCCAAGGTCTCCCATATGCTAAGCATATGCTCCTTCAGGGAGCTCCATTCTGTTCCGGAATGTATAGAATTTCCTAAAACATTATGTGAAATGATTTTTTTTAAATTTAAGGTCAGAATAACACTACTATCTCTTTGCAAGGATATAAAAGTGAGTTATCATAAAAAGTCCCACATTCATTTATATATTCAACCACGTATTTGTGCAACATTCCTTAAACATATAGTAAAGATAAATAATCACACCAAATGGACCCCTGTGCTTTCCTCCTCTCAGAGGAAAAACATCCATCTGTGAGTAGAAAAAAAAATGCAAGATTTAACACTTGGCCTGACTCCTTTGCTATTTTAAAGAACAATTAACTCAATTTTACCTTTCCACTAGTAGAATTTTTGTACTCTACCTCTTCAAATTCTAGACATTCCATGAATTTGTATTTATTTATTTCTACTGATGGGGCTGATTTATGAGCAGATATAAGAAGGCATGTATCTGGATTGTTATCATTACAAGACTTTAAAAAGTAATCGTAGTTTGGATGAAACTGATTTCACTTGTTCAAATCTTGGAGGCTCTGATTGGCTGAAGCCTGTCAAAATGATCCACCCTTCCTGACCACAGTGATTGGGTCAAGGATGGATATCAGACCTTATTTAGGCCAAATCAAAGTTGATCACATTCAGTTAGGTGATTTTGGTTAAGCAACTGGAGAGCCACCTTCCTGCCAGATGACCTACAAGCATATAAACCCAGGAACTTCTGCAAGGTATTTTGGGATCAAGAGAAACATAAAGCACTTAAGCCGCCAAGGTGAGAAGAAAGGAGATCATGGTTCTAGCCTCATTTTAGAAAAAGAATTAAATGAATCAAATGAGCCTGTCTTTCTTTTCTTTCTTTCTTTTTTAAAAAAAATTATACTTTAAATCATTGGCTTGGACTCAGGGTCTGGGCACTGTCTCTTAGCTTTTTTGCTGAAGGCTGGTTCTCTACCACTGGAGCACAGCTCCACTTTCAGTTTTTTTTGGTGGGTAATTGGAGATCAGAGACTCACAGAATTTCTTGCTTGGCGAGCTTCAAACCAAGATCCTCAGCCTCATGAATAGTGAGGATTATGGGTGTGGACCATCTATACCTGGCTTAACTGTGCTTTTCTGAGACAGTTTGAGTCAGGTTTTTCTGTTGCTTAGAACTAAAACAAAGTTAAGATGATATCTATAATATAAATGGTAACAAATAGGCTTAAAACATTTTTCCTGTGCATTTAAACTTGCTGTTTCATTTCCATAATGAAATCAAATGAAAAACCACAAAATATTCACAATAGCCACAAAGCTATGGTAGAAAAGAAATATATTTTCCCTCCATTTGCTAGCTTTCCCACATCTTTCTCAATTCTAAAGGAAACACATAGGAGAATTCTATTTGGCTGGAGTGCACTGAAGGTTGCTATTAGTTTTACAGCAAGCTGTTGGAAAATCTCAGTGTCAAATGTAGGATGCCCTATTAAGCATCATACTGATAAGGCACTCAAAATCATTTGGTACATGATGGGGCAAACACAGTGCTTTTTTTTTTTTACTGTCTGCCCTGCTTAATTTTGTGTGGTGCACAAATGCAGTTATAAATATCTAAATGGCCCTTGGCAGAGAAAAGGTGCCTCACCCCTGTGAGGGTATCAGTAAGTAATCTAGAGATTTCTCTTCCCTTCCTTTCCTATGTAATACACACCATACCCTGTTGACTATCCTGTATCATCTATTGAAGAAAACATAATCAGCCTTAATTCTCCGCCTGCTAGGTAAACTTTTGGCAGGTGTCAATGCTAACTTCCATTGCCACAGGCATCAGTTGTGCTTACTCTAGCTTTAGGGCTTTGGGGCCCATTTTAAATCCTCATGGGGCAAATGTTTTAAAATGTTTTCAACTCATGATACTAAAACTAACCTACATGTTTTGTATGTGAGTAAATTCATCTTTGCATAGATCTGGTGCATATCACACAGGGCAGTTATCTCTCTACCCACACCACCTTCCTCTGCTAGTTAGAAGGAGCTGGGCAGCTGCATTGGATCTTGTGCCCATCATTTAACAGTTAAGTTTCTCAGTGTCTATATAACTGTGGTTGATCCTTGACACAGAACTTGTCTCATAAAGATTGCTTTGACTTTGCTTACTTATCCCCCACTCTCAGCTGCAAGCCTCACATACAACTTGTAAACAGTGTCCATAGTGTTACCAATTCCTTGTCTCTTTTTTCCCTCTCCCCAGAATTTGGGAAAGAGAGGATTGTGCTTGGCTGTCTTCCCAATTGGGGCCAGGTGGGTCATCTCCTAAGTTTGCTATTGCAATTCTGGCTTTCCTCCCTTATTGACTAGATTATTGGAGGCATTTGTGGTGGATGGGTCCACAGATCCAAAGTCCTACAAATTGGTGTTGGCAGGACCCACTACAGGATGGTATGGTCAGGAATGTCATTTGGAACTCAACAGACAGTACAGTCCTTAAGACAAGCTGTAGAGGACTCTGCCCATCAAAATATACACGTATAAATTATCCTTGCACACCTTTTTCAGGAGGGATTTGGCTCAGTGGGGTGTATAAATAGCCCTCAATACCCGTCTTCATGGTGAATGCAATTCAAGTCCTAGGGAAACATTTTTCTGTACCGCAATATCTTAAAAAGAAAAGGTTACAATTTATGAATATCATTTAGGCTGGTCAACACTGCTCATTTTCGAAGCTAACACCCCTTTAAATTCAAGATTTATATCCAAAAATTTAAAAACAGAGAGTCAGTTTGTAGAATGCATGATTTCTGCATTCCAAAGTATTGGTTTCTTTTTTTCCAAGAGGAAAAGGCATTCATTTTTTTCTTTTGCGGTTTCAATTTGTGGCTTTAGATGTACTCTAGCATGGTTTGTCATAGTTGCATATTGCAGCTGCTTTAGTGGCATGGGTCTGTGTTCCTTTATATTTGGGAGACTAAAGCAGGATGACTTGAGCCCAGAAGTTTGAGGCCTCCTGGAAATCAGGAAGATCTTATATCAGAAAACAACCCCAAAACAAACAGCCAAGGGATGTCATCAATTCTTATTGCTCATAACTATGTGTAAGTTAATGCTAGAAATACTATATTGATTTAGAAAATCTTGTAAGGAATGGAACATAACAACATTTTTGATGAACTTGTTATTTTGCAGTATTTTCTGTGATACTTTATCATAAGGATTTCATTATAATTGTAGATATGATATTTAAACTTCACGGGCTATCTACACCCAAATATTTAATGTTTAAGAACAACTCTTTGTAAATAACAGAGAAAAAAATTCTCCAGCTCTGTAATTGGTCAGGAAAAGTGATTTAATTTGGCATTACAAACAATCTGTTGTAAGAATATATTTAGTGGTTTTGCTAAAGCAAGAGAAAAACTTACGGAAAAATCATAAAGATGATTTATCTTTTGTCTCGACATAATGCATTCAGGCATTACCAGTCCATCAGCAGAACAGTGAGACATGGCAATGATGACTAAATGATCACTGGCATTTTGCTGACATTTGATCTTAATACAAACTACATCTTTACGGGTTGACTGGTATGGAAGCAGGATTATATAGGAAAAATCCAGCACAACTGACCAGCTTAATTCATAACTTTTTAAATATTTAGGTGTGGCCTATGGGCCTTTTTTTTTCTATTGCGTAAAAATGAGAAACAGATGTGGGTGCGCTTGCCTCAGTCCCCAGGGCTGGGCTCTGGGGGAAGGGGGTCTGGCAGGTGCACGGAGGCCCCGCCCCCTCGCCGCCTCCCTCCTCGGGGATTGGCTGCTTCAGTCCTGGTGGGCGGCTCCGGGGTCGGGATGAGGTCCGGGTCGCGGGCGCTGGCTGCCCGGGATTTAAGGCACTGGAGGGTCAGAGCCTCATCACCTGGTCTCCAGCCACGCGCCCCCGCCGCGGGCCGGGTGGAACTCCCTGTCGGCTTGCCCTTCCCCCCCCCGCGCCCCTCGGCCCCCGTCTGGGGTGGGTGCGGGGTGCGGACCCGGGGCCTCGGGGCGGTGCAGTGGAGGGGCACGGCGTGGGGACCCAGGCGGGGGCTGCGGGAAGCGGAGGCGGCTGTCGCTTGGGGACCGGCTTGACCGGGTTGGAGACACCCGGAAACGGATTCGGCTTCGGGGCCCGCGCGCGAGCCGGCGTCTCTCAGAGCGAGCGGAGCGGCGTGCGGGTGGGGCTGAGTAATCCCCGCGGCG